AAAGGGGTAAGGAGAGGAGAAAAAGAGAAGATGACAGTGCCTGAGGGAAAACACATCACCTCCTGTCTGGCTCCCTGACAGCAAGGAGCAGACAGGTGGAGAAGGGAAAAGGACGAGCAGTGTGTGTGAGTGTCTGTGTGTGCAGGGGTGAGGCATCTCTCCAGCCGAGAGAAGGGCATCTGTCCGTCTCTGCTCCACTCGTACTAAAGCGTGTGGCTGCTGTCCGTGTCTGTCTGAGTGGCGTGCTATTAAACGCTATACCTGGCCAGTGTCTCATCGCCGATCTGGAATCCCATCATGCATCTGTCCAGGCGTCTGTTATCCTCATGCTATCTGTCACTCTGCCTGTCTGTCCTCGTGTCCGTCGATCTATGAAGAAGAGGGGCATGCTCATGTTGCAGTGAGCACTCTTTCTGTCTATTTGCCCACCTGCTTGCCAATCTGATGAATCCATACTCTCCCTGTCTTTCTACATATTATCACCGGCTTTCTATATGTGTTGTGTGTATGCCAGAGCAGCCTGTCACTCTGTTCCCTGTGGATCTTATATACTGATAGATGACTGAAGGATATACTGGGATATTTGCTGCAGGGAGCGCTCCGTTCTCCCCGATTGCAAGCACACAACAGTGGCCTTCAAAACACACGTGCACACATACGGTACTAATAAAATGTCTGGATTCAGTGATGGAACAGAGAGGGCACTGGATAAATCAAGTGTGCATGTGTGTTTGAACATGAATGAATGTGTGAAGGTTTGTTTGATTTTCATGCTTGTTTTAGATCCCTAGGGGGTTAAAGAGCAGCTTTGCATTAAACTGTGGGCAGAGCGACACAGATAACAGAGCAATTGAGATTCCCACCGCACACCAGCTTCATCTGAGCTGTTCCGAGTTAAAACAACTCACTAAATAATTATCTCTGATTATATCATTTAAATAAATATAATTTCAGTTACCCTTACACAGACTAACACAATGATGATTCATCCCACTTCAAGCTCATGTGGCACTGTGGTTAAATGCCTTAGCACACACGTATTGCTGAATTGTTACATAAAAATACACTAATAACGTATGACTGGCTTTAGAGAGGAAACAAAGCCTTACAAACAGACATTAAAACTTCTGCATCTTAAAAACTACAATACTTTTAACAATATTATTTTGTAATGATAGTCAAATACTGCAAAACATTAGATGTATGGATGTTTTCCGCTTAAGTGACATTTAAGAACTGAAATAGAACCTAACACAGAATAATCTGATGTAATGCTATGTGAATTTAATAGGGAATAAGAAGAATTCTGGTTATCTGTATTTTACTGATTTCTTTATTGTTGCTGTGGTGCCAACTTTTGGACCCATTATACATTCAGTATCCATAGTTGAGGCGATGGCAGAATTTACCGTTAATAATAATAATAATAATAATACTGTTAACATTTTTATTTATTTAGCGCTTTTCCTGGTGCATAAAGCGGTTGCTGGTTAGCGTATAGCTGGGAAATAGTTTCTCAGTAGAAAGTATTCACAATGAGAGTAGGAGTTTGGCTAGCTGCTAACACCAGTATGCTAACATGCTGATAGCTGTCTTTGGTTTATGTCATACCATTAGCAGGTATGACATAAACCAAAGTGTTAAAATTATTCAGTTTTGAACTGAAGATGGCACTAGATTGAAAGTCATGGAATCACCATTGACATGAATACCTGAACAAAATGTTGTACCAATCCATCTAACCTGCTGCTGGTTCCAGAGGGAAAGGTCAGGAAATATTATATTTTGTGAGTCATCCTCTTGGAACCATCAGAATTTGTAACACAATTGATGGCAAACCATCCAATAGATATTTCAGTCATTGGGTTTCATCCTCTGGCTTTCATGAATGACACAATATGGCTATCCATCCAATAGTTGTTGATATTTTGTTTTGTTTCGACCAAAGTGGTGGACCAATAGACCAGCATTGCAGTCTCTAAGGCACTGCTACCGTGGCTTTTAACAATTGTTCAATGTGACCTGTGGATTATCCAGATCATATGTTGCTCTATGATGTTTCTGAAAAGAATGTTTGGGTCACATAAGTGCCTAAAACGTAATTCCATCCAAGTCCATTGTATTGAGGTGGTAGAAAGAACTGATTATTAGATCAGAAATAGGAGAGCAAAGAAAGAACTGGCCTGACATGCAAAGCTGAATTTAGATCTGTGATGTTGCGAGGACACAATACACCCTCTAGCTTGTTGTGGCACCAGATGTCTCTGTACACAGCCTTAAAGTGTGTTTTCTGGTGTTGTGTACTGTACATCCATCCTGGTTCTGCTGCTTAGCCAACTGACTTTCCCTGCCAAACACATGTATGGCAGAATCGATTCCCGGGGCTGCAGCAAAGTGTGGCACATCCAGGCAGAAGTGCTCCCTGGCCTTGGGAAGAAATGAGGAAGATGCAATCCAAGCTCACACACAAATGTGTATGTTCAGTTTAATAACGCACACAGTATCAATAATAAAGAGAGCAAAACAGGCTCCTTCTATTTCTTTCTCCCTCTCTTCCTTACTCATGCACATACAGAGTCTCTCCCTGGTGGATAAATCAGTCCTTTCATGCTCTGTCGTCTAGCTGGCCCTGTTCGACTGTGTTTCTATAATAGAGAAGGAGCAGTCCCTTTTTTTTTTACTATTCACACATATGTCTTCCTCTGCCCTCCCTCTCTCTAAACTTCAAAGGGCTCCTAGTGGAGTCAATCTACAAGTACACCAGACCAATGATAGGGGACTTACAGCTTGTGCAATGACTGAGCTGGATATATCAACCTAATGAAATGTGTGTGTGTGTGTGTGTGTGTGTGTGTGTGTGTGTGTGTGTGTGTGTGTGTGTGTGTGTGTGTGTGTGTGTGTGTGTGTGCGTGCGTGCGTGCGTGCGTTTGTGCGTGCATGCGTGTGTGTGTGTGTGTGTGTGTGTGTGTGTGTGTGTGTGTGTGTGTGTGTGTCGGTTGGGGGAGGTACGTGTGGGAAAATGGGATGGTATAATTTGCTCTTAAGTGGTAAGGATGGAGGTAATGGCTTTTTTAAATAGGACCTGGACGATGATAAAGGTGGCCTGATTAACACAAGTATAATAATGTTATCATTGGCCTGTAATCAGGAGATAGCTTAGTGATGATAATGATGTTAATGAAGATGATGGTATCCCCATTGAAATAGATCTGTAATGATTCCAAAGGCACGTTTAAAAATAAAGATTAGTATTCAGCAACTGAGCTGCAAAAAAAAAGAATATTAGAGGAATGTGCACTCAAGGTGCCCTGTGGAGCTTTCTTGTAAAACAAACAAAGTTCATTAAATGTGATATTTCTTCTAGAGGTCTAATGATGTTTCATCAATCTTCCTCCTCAGAAAATCTACATCAAGCCAATTAAAGAAAAACATTTTTTAATCGCACAGCGTTAACATCCATGTAAATACTCATGTCAGTAAGCGATAAGTCTACAAACATAACAATAACATTTGGCACCACCTTGTAGTAAGACCCCTTTAGAAACGATTTATAATTTGGAGACTATGCCTGAAGTAATGGGAATGATGAGAGTAACACCTACGTCACTTCCGGGCGAAAAGTACGGCCCCGACCACTTTTGGGGGAAAACAACGCTGTCATTTGAATGGCGGTCAATAGAAATTCTACATTTTTTGCCAATCCGATCAGAAATGTTTGAAAACCGTGGATTTTTGGATCTTCAAAGATCAGTCAGGCAAACAATTACATGAAATCATTTTAAATCAACAATCGGGATCGATATATGGTTAAATTAAAATCAGTAGGCGAGGCTGTAATTTCGCCAGCTGTTATGAGCGAGGCGGAAAATAATAGTTTTATCATGCCAAAAAGCTGCTGTGTTGTTTATTGCACCTCAAACATTAAAACGAATCCAGAGTTACGTTTGTCTGTACTTCCTCTAAGAAAAAAGGACAGTAAAAGAAGAGCTCTGTGGCTTCAGGCTTGATCGCCATTCAAATGACAGCGTTGGTTTCCCGCAAAAGTGGGCGGGGCCGTAAAGTAACGTAGATGTTACTCTCATCTATGGACATCGATCGCCTACTGCTATATTTAACCATATATCGAGCCCAATCGTCGATTTCCAATGATTTAATGTCATTGTTTGCCTGTCTGGCCATTGTACTCGGGCTCTTTGAATATCCAAAAATCTTTTTTTTCCTTAAATTTCTGATCGTATTGGCAAAAACTTCAGAATTTGTATTGACCGCCATTCCAAAAGTGGACGGAGCCGTACTTTTTTACGCATGTGTTACTCTCATCTATTGATACTTGTATTTATTAACATTTATTATATAACTAATAACTTTCTCATAATCGTAGTAATGCTGCATGTTTAAAAACCTTTGACTATAGAATTGGTTAATGAAATTTAACAATAATTAAAGCCTTACTTTTGGCCCTTATTTTGTTAAAAATTGGTACCAAAAGTTTTTTTTGCAACAGCTGAAAGTACACTGCAGTGCTTACTATTAATACATTAATCATAGGTCTCTTAATTTATAAATAGCTGGGAATCCCAAAGCTGTCTGTTTTTCTAATCTTAATTATGTCCATAAAGCCAATCTGAAAAGCATTTTATTAATTGTTTAAGTTAGTAGTTAGCTACTTAACTTCGACCAATGAATCGACTAAGAGAGGGCAGCCCTACAATAAGTTATTGGAAAAATGACAGCGATATCTACAGCATACTTAATATTATGTAATCGCGTATGCTGTATTGATTGTTGGATGTCATGATGCTTATGGTGCTGATGATGATGATGGTGGTGTTGGTGGAGGACGTGGTGGTGACTGAGTGATGATGGATATCATAGCAGTAATAATCACTTCCGAGTGAGACGAAAAATGAGACGAAATTAAAAACGTGCCGAGAGATTTTTCAGGAGTCACGTTTTAATAGATGAGAGAGAGACGGGGGAGAGAGAGAGAGAGGGAGAGAGGGAGAGAGGGAAAGAGGCGCGTTAACTGCGTGTGTCCTTCTTGGACTCAGTTGTGTGACCGGCTGACGGGCTGAACGGGAGACGGACGAAGAAACTTGAGACAATCACAGCGAGATCCGACATTCAGAGGTAAATCAAACACCAATGTGTCTGTGACCGAAACCCTGTGATTGTGAGCTTGTGTGATTGATTTTAACGGCGGTCGGGCTGACTGGAGATCAGACCTAGTTTCCCCTCGCTTGGTATTTGGGAATTGCGTTTCTCTCGGCTCTTTGGCACTTCTGCTTGACACTTACCAGGGCTAACATTTAAAATTACGGTACGTGGCAGTTCAAATACTTCAATATCTATCTGTGTTTTTCTTTAGTAGTGTCAGTGAAATTAATTCATTAGGTTGGATGCTCCCGGTGGACCGACTCTGTGCGTATTTCTGTGAAACCCCGCAGGATTTTGTCGTCCTAAAAGTATATCCCTCATGTGAAATGAGATGTGTGGAGAGATATTACAGCGGGAGTGTTTTAACAGTGGACGACATTGATCATAGGCTACAGTCCTAATAGGGTGCTGTTGGTCAAAGAGATTGAGGACCTGTCCGCTGGCGCACACTCGTATGCTTGTGGGGGAATTTCCGCGCCATAATAACTGTTGTATGTACACTGATTGATTCTCCTATTGGTCCCTTTATCGACCCCTACAAGATTTGTAGTGCATGTTTTATTCCGACTACAAGGTGAGGAGAAAGGGCTGACACTTTTTGTGCAAATTGGACAAGCGCAATATTTGTACGCGTCCGAGCCGATTCCTCACAGACGGCATTTGTGTGCGCTCTACCCCCCTGTCTGTCTGTCTGCGCGCATCCGTTACCGAAGGACGGCTGGGGGAACCGACTGCCAGACTGTCACACACCGAGCACCCACCCCGGGGCAAATATTTTACCTGCTCGCCGTCTGTATGGGCAATTTCTCCGCGGTTCAGCGCGTCTCTAATGAGGTTGATCGGCTCCGAGTCGCTCCAAAAAGCCGGCTTAATTGCGTCCATTTATTACGCCACCCTATAAGTCGGTGATAATAAGTATTTGGCATTATGCAGGGGTGTTGCTGATGCGATTTATCAATTTGTATTCCCTTATCTCTGTGCACATATTGTCATCGTGTTTGTGTGAAACCCTTTTCATCCATTGCCCTTCTGGGAAATACATTTGCTTAGATTTATGACCTGCCTTCCGAGGTTATATCGATTACTGCAGCCAGCTGTGTACTATATTTTTGTAAGAAAATAAATAAATAAAAGAAAAGTGGGTCTGCCATATCTATATATATAATTTCCTGGGGTTGTAGAGCATATACATAACATCTAATGTAAAGCCACACACACACACACACACACACACACACACACACACACACACACACACACACACACACACACACACACACACACACACACACACACACACACACACACACACACACACACACACACACACACACACACATGATGGGCTTTAAGTGGCAGTAATGGCTGTGATCAGTGTGAGATATGTTTATGTGTGTATGTTGAAAGCTCATGTATTATACATAACTGTCCTACCAGTGTAAACGGGTACACTCAGTTGAATGTGAATGAGCGCTTTGACTATGTTTATTTATGTGTGTCATGTGTTTTGGTGCACATGTTTATCTCTGAATATCTTTGACTATGTGTTTCTTTGATTGCATGAGCAACTTTTCTGCAATTCTTTCCGGACTAACCGTGCCATTGCAAGGTTCTGTTTTTTGTCAGAGAAAACAGGAGGACCGAGACTATAGTGATTGGATTTTCACATTCTCCTCTTATAATGTTATTACGAGAAAGAGCACACACCAATCTGTGTTTCAGCATGCAGTTAGCAATTGTTTACAGTGGATGACTCTTGCATTTTCCCAGATGGGGACCAAAGAGCTAAGGAGGGCAGAGAGAGAACCCGGAGAGGGGAGGTTAGGAGACATCAAGGGAGGAGAGGAGTGGTAGTTAGATGGAGAAAGGGGAAATAGATGAAAGGTGGACAAAGTAAGGGGTGGGTAGAACATGAAGAGAGATTAGAAAATGGGAAAATGAGTGGAGAGTATAGGAGGAAGAGGAAGAGAGAGGTGGTTGTGGTGGTAATGTTGGAACTGGACAGCTTGTACTGAGTACGTGACTAATCCTGGCGATAAAACTGCCTGAAGAATAGAAGCTGGACAGAAAGGTGCTGTAGTTGTGACAAGCGAGGCACACACCTAATCCCATTAGCGGACAGTGCTCTGTGTTATGGCCGACGATAAGGAAGTGATTCCGGATAGATGGTGGGATACTCTGGGAGGATGAAACGACACCGGCAGACTCAGAAAAAAACCCACCAAGGACAAATGATAAAGGATGTATGTGTGTTCGAGAAAGAAACTAGAGTCGAGGATGTACTGCGGAATGGAATTTATATTCAAGTCTGGATTTTCTTCAACCATTTTCCTTCACCAATCTTACATAACCTTGTTGCCTCTCCTGCCTGGAGTGCCTTGTAACGTTTTGTTGGAAGACAGATTACTTACTAATTATGTTCCAGAGACTCCGCTGGCTGTCTTTCTTTAAAGACTCAATCAAATTCCATCCGAAGATGTTAGAGAAGCTCCTAAACATGCTGATCATAGGGTGAGACCTAATGGCTTCATATGCAACCCCCCTTTGGGAAATACATGAGAACATGGTCAATGATCGACAAGCCTCTATGTCTTTCTGATTCTGTCCTAATGAGAATGGCAGAATCCCCAAGACGACCACCCATGGGGGCTTTCCTTTTTCCGACAGAGTGTGTGGCAATCGACGGACGCGTACCATTCATTAGCTGACAATTCAGTGAAAGGAATCAGACAACAAGGCCTCCTAGGGATCCTCCTGGAGAGCAAGGACATAAATGCTTAGTGCTCAAGACATGAACATTCCCTAGGGCCCTGCACACAGAGATAATGTAATGGCAGAATTCCCTTTCCTATTGTTTAAATTAAGACAGGAAAGGAAACAAGGAGCTTCCAGGATCTAACGCCGCCTAAGATCCCACTTGTACTTCAATATTCTAACATTCCAGACATGGGGAAAATGGAATGAGCTATATAAAACCTTCGGCAGAGTACTTATCATCCAGTGTCAGTCTTTTGAAGGGGAACAAAAAAAAGCCTGTGACTCTGCAGTGACTTTATGCAGAACTGAATCTCAACTATATCATCTCCTATTACCTACTCAAGGCGAGTGACTGACAAGTAATATTTCATCCATACGTGATGCTCCCTTTAAACTCCGGATAGATGTGAGGGATGATGTACTATACCTTCCCTCAGTGCCCTTTGATGAGGATCATGCATCAAAGGCAGTAGAGACACATGATTGCTGATGCTAACTTTTTAAGACGAGATATCCGCCAAGGGTTTTCACAGCACAAATCTATCAGGAAAAGTGTGGGAATTAGCTCAAACATCCTTCACGCTTTTCCCCATTGTCGCCCAATGCTGTTCTGTGTCCCCATCGTCCCCAGATCTATTGCCGTGTTCCTAATATCCCCAGATGCGTGTCTTAGTTGTCCCCAGACTAAAGTTGGAGCAGGACACACTGACCTAAGTCTGAGCAATTATATGCCTAGACATGGAGCTCTTCCCTCCCTCGTGGTGATGGAAGGAAGGGAGGGTTGGAGGACGGTCATTTAGAGGAAATGGCTATGTCTGGCAGTGCAGTGTTTTTCCTCGATGGAGGCCTATGGGATGGTGCTGCAGAGTCTGTCACGGTCTGATTGCTCTCAGACCAACACTGCTGTTTACCCGCGTGTACGTGATAATGCAGGCAGGTTGAGATGCATATATGCAAGCACCTATTCGAGAGAAGACACACACTTGTCTGCGACTTCGAAAACTCATACATAATAATTTTCTTCTCCCTTAGAGAAGAACTGAAAGTATGTATGCTCCTTCGCTTTCTGCTGTCAGCAGGGGGTCTTGTATTACTGCCGGAGTGGACTGAATTTCAGAGCAGGGTGTTAGATTTGTGGAGGGAGGCAACTCTCAGCTCATGGTTGATGGCTGTTTGGATGGGTGGGTTAAAGGAGGACTCTAGTGAAAAAAGTACAGCAGCTCACTTCACCGGAGACAATATTATACAGAAAGACAGGAGGCTGCCCCGGGCTGGATGTGTGTGTTGGTGTATGTGTGTGTTTTTTGTGTATTTACATTTATACCCTGCTGTGTAGGAATGATGGAGGGAGAGGGCAAGAGAGTCAGACATTGATAGAACGAGAAAGCCTAAACTGACTTGGTTGGGTATGTGTATGTGTGTGTTGGTTGTAAACGAACTGCCATCAGCTGAAGTATTGGAGTTGTGAGCGCAAATGTGTCTTTTCTTTTGTTATTTCTGAGAAAAAGTTGAATTTGAGCCAAGAATCGAGCGCTGGATAATGATACTGAGCATTTCTGTCATATATTTCTGTCAAATCCTTTTGAAGGGTTTCATTGTTGGCATGAGACCGGTGTAAACGTATTAATTGTAGGTTATGCAAGTATAGGATAACCTGTGTAAATGGTTAGATTTTCAGGATGTATTTATTTTAGTGTAAGTTGTTACAATTCTAAATTCTGTAATTATCCTAACAACACATAGCATTTTTGTTCTGTCTAACAGTGAGTTTGATGGAAGGGTGATATCAATATCTTCTCAGAACAAGCTGCTGTCGGACACATTAACTTGCACGTATAGGAAGAAGTTGGGAGACAATTAGCCTCTACATTAAGAGGAGAAATTGTACTTATTTAAAGTGTATCTGTACTGACATGTTGTGTCTTTGCTTTGCGTACATTGGGCTGCTAACTTCCAGTAAGCATATTTTAGGTTAGCCCCAGTGCTGCATGTGGTCAGTCCTCAAGGCTAATGCTAACGTTAGCTGTTGATGTAGCCTAATGAGCTAATATCTCGTAACCTGGCTGCTTGATAAACCACAACATCATGTTTCATATTTCTACATGCAATATTTATTGAATATGTAATTTAAACATTATAATTCACTTTTCAAATAAGTAAATAATTGTCTACAGTACATTTTCACAATATCTTTCTTCAACATTGCTTAAATACCC